TAATTTATTTTATAACACTACATTGCACACAGACTTCTCATTTCTGCTACCTGATTCACACACCATTAACTGTCCACTTATACAGCTGGTCATCTTATAAACATCAAGAAATGTTTCCTCTGTTTGACCTTTGATAATCTTCTAGACCAAATCTTGTCTTTTAAAATGAATGGAAGTAATTCTTCCCCACAAACAGGTATCAACACTACTGTAGGAAATTACCTTAAAATTCAAACTGCAGGGGCCAGGAGATATTAGAGAGCATTGGCCAGGCCTGAGTTCAGTCTGACACCAAAGACTGTCTTCTAAGCGAGGCAAGGTAGGGCCCTGGATGCTCCAGGCATGGCCCAGGGCTGCTTGGTGTTTCGGTAGGACCATAGTAGCATCACACCTTCGGGTCCTCCCACTGAACAGAAGCCCTGGTTGACCAAATGCAGCTAGTAGTGGCCTCTGAGTCCCCGAATCACCTCCTGGTAACCCCATATTGCCACCTCTCAAATCAAAACATCAACTACCCATATACTTACATTGAGAAACATTAATTAGTGAAGGTTATTATAAACCTCAGATCCCTTTGTTTCAGTCTTACCCAGATGCTGGAAAACATGTAACTTTTAAGTGGCTGTTTGCCCGTGAGAGTAATAAGCAGTTTAAGATCTCCACCACTAAAGAGTTTGATAATTTAGAACAGAAGTGTCCAATCACTTGTTAAAACGTAATTTCACAAATGAAATTACAGGATATGTTTCTAGATATAAGTATAACTATCCAAACGATAACTGTAAGAACTGAATCTGAAACTGTTCCGTCCCTCACCTTTTGAAAAGGCATCACAAATGATTTTCTAATTATAGATACGCAACATCCAGACTGGAAGCAATATTTTTAAAAAAGTACCTCCATACACTGACACATTTTAAAAAAAAATTTGGACTACTTTTACCAGCAATATCTCAACGTGCCACTAGATGGAGGTAGCACTCTATAGAAATGAAACTTCTCTTATTCTCTTATCCAACCAAAAAAAAAAAAAAAACCCTGAAGGGGCGGGGGGCAAGAGGGCCATTTTAACTGTCTTTCAAAAGTAAAAGTAGGGTTTCTTAAGTTTGTCACTGTTGAAATCACAATGAAGAGCGACTTTTCCAAATCAGTGTTTTTAAAACCTCTAAGTTATGTTTAAGTAGCAGTATAGAAAATAAATCAGCCAGAGCTCTGGGAAATATTTCCATTTCACTCTCTAAATCACGTTTTTCCAGTTTTTATTTAAATGCTTCACTTGCTATTTGTAATACTTGTCAACGGTAAAATTTCGTATGTGGAGATTTGATTTTATTTTCTTTGGGGGGGGGCACACCCAGCTAAGCTCAGGACTCCTGGCTCTGCACTCAGGGATCGTTCCTGGTGGTGCTTGGGGGACTATATGGGATGCCGGGAATGAACCTAGGTTGGCCACATGCAAGGCAAACGCCCTTCCTACCTTACTATTTGGTCCTGGCTTGAGTGAAGCGTTTTAACACCACACTGTGCACCAGAGGCAGAAGTCTCCACTCCTTGTCACCTACTCTTCTGCCAACCCTTTCCCTTGGTAAAGTGTTCTAGGTCAATTCTCAGGTTCCATGCCTTTGGCCATTTAGAGAGTCCATTTCGTATCCGTCCCTCTCCTTCTGACAGACTTCACTCACAACCAGTCCACTACTTCCAGCTACAAAGTGGTGAGTTCATCGTTTCCTATTGCCAAGTCACACCCATCCCACTGGGGATCTCGGCCACAGCTGTTTTATCCACTCGTCTGTTGATGGGTAGGTTGTTTCCAGATCTTGGCTGTTGTGAATTATGCTGCAGTGAACGAAGGGACACACATTCTTTTGAAATAGTGATTTGGAACCCTTGAGGTAGAGACAAAGAACTGGAATTGCTGCGCCCTATGGCATCGCTCTTCAAGTTCTTGATCTTAAATCCTTCTTCACAATACTGCGTTTCAGAGCTGTCAGGGACCCTCATTGTCCATGGAGTTTCACCATTTTTGGACCCTTCTTCATTCCTCAGGACAATCTTTGGAGCATCTTTATCATTGGTTACAAATTACAGGATGAATAGACGTCAAAATAAGACATTCCGACATCAAAGAGCATAGAGTTAATAATTTCTGATTTTATTAAATGTATGATATCTCAGGCTGATATTTGTAAATATCAGCAGCTATGAATTTCAACTAGCAAAAACAGCCTAAAGTAATCACAATGGTGCCACGAAACACTACATTTGATCTTTTATATATGTTTCACACTACATTTGATTCACTTGCTCTTCACGTTCTCCTCTGAATCAGGAGACCACCTTTCTATCATGTTGACTGCTAACAATGGTTCACTCTAGGAAAGATGTGATTATTTGGTATACACCTTTCCCCAGACACAGAGAAACCATATTCCAGTTAAAAATAATGAGCAATTAAAATTAGTATAGCTCACAGTGGTGTTAAAAAGCCTGAGGTTTATGAAGTTACCTGTATATAGTCATAAATACTCTGATAAAAATATATTTATACATGTATTTCTTTCTTGAGACAGAGGAGAAAAAAGAAATAATTTTTATATGAACAATTATGATGTTCTTATTTTGAAAATGAAAGTGTGACAATGAATGGCTCTCACTTTAGATTCGAAAGGCAGAAGATAAACCCTTATTTTCTGAAAACGGGCAGTAAAAATGGCAAGCCAGATGACTAGAAGCAGAGGTGACATGTACAGCCATTTCCAACTGCATTCCCTCAAATGAATCATCCATCTCAGCGCTCTGGATAGCTAAAATGAGCAGGTCTTCTTGAGATGGTTGAAATCAATAATATCTAAGTGAACATTTATAAATTACCCATTCAATGATTGCGGGTAACTACCATTTCCAGAACCTTCGGCAGCATTTTTTTCTGAACTTTACTCTCTGGTCCCTTTCAGTGGAAATGTGAATTTCTATGATTCTGTCTCTAAAAACTTCTAGCTCTTATATGTATAAAATGGAATGGGCTTTCCTGATTTGATCCAGACTAATACACTCCCATAAATCCCAAGAAAAAAAATTGAAAACTGTTTTGATACTGTGTCTCAGTTTGGTTTTCCAGACCTATATTTGTAATGTGACAGAATAACCTCGGAAGCATAATTACAGCAATGAACACAAAACACTTCCATGAAGAAGCAAAGGAAGGCAGCTCTTACCTGTCACTGATTCAGGTACTCACTGTGGTTGTGAATTTCTACAGGCATATTGTGCTAAATAAATTACTTTGTCGAGGCTTGGAAAGAGTGCAGGGCTTAGATGCTTGCTGACCTTGAACCACTATAATCCCATATGTACTCCAGGCGTGATCCCTGAGCACAGAGTTTGGAGTAAGTCTTGAGAAAAGCTGGATGTGGTCCAAAACCTATCCAGCTCCAAAAAAAATTAAAAGAACTTCCCTGGGCAATACGGAATGCTTTTTACACATTGCTGACTTTCTTCTCTGGAGACAGCTGCCTAATTCTACTTATTTTTATTTCTCCCTCCGTGTATTCCTTTCTATTTCTCTTCCTCTACTTAGTCACATGTAAAGAGCAATGTTTCTTTGCAGTAAAAGAATGTAGTCAACTTAAAGTCATTACACATCTAGAAGTGTTTCCCTCTATTAATTCAAGCTGATGGTACTTTAACAATTTCATCATCCTGAACACTTTTGTGGCCTTTTATCCATTTATTCTACTTAACTAAATGTTTCTATGATAGCAACACAACAATTTCATTGGTGAGGCTCTATCTAAGATTGTAAATATTTTTGGAGAGCTAAACTCATATTTTGTTGTTTTTTTTTTCTGTATTTTAACCCTCCGCCCCTTTTTTCTTTCTTGCAAGGAGTACATGCTGATGCAATATTGATCCATTTAGATTTTGTAACCTGAAGCAAATTATAAGTATACAGTTAAATTAAATGTTGCCTCTTGGTGGAGTTGTAATTGGCTTTGTTACACAGAGCACTCGGGGGTCCCTTCCTTATAGTTTTCATGGGGTCCAGGGACACTTCTCTGTCAACTGACCCAAATGGTGTGATGCTGGCACCTTAGGTAAGTGTTCTTGGGCCCTGAGATGCCAGGGAACCATAAAACCACCTTGGTATTGCTGAGAATCCAATGTAAATCTAGTCATATGTGTGTGTCTCTCACTGCCATGATATCTTCCCGGTTCTTTGCATTTATCATTTGCTGTTTGGATACCATAGGATTTGTATCCTTCAGCACTGTAAGGATATCGCTGATAAACTGAATTTTCTATCTAAGAAAGGCAAAAAAGATAATAGTTGAGGAATTATGTGGCCAGGTACCCAGAAATACCGCTATACTCTTTTTGTTTGTCTTGCTACACCCTGAAATGCTCCAGGCTTATATCTGTCTCTGTGCTCAGGAGATACTTGGAGTACTTGTGCTCAGGAGGTACTTGTGCTCTGCTGGTACTTGGGGGATTGTGATGCCAGGATTTGAACCAGGAGTGTCTGTTTGCCAGGCAAGCTTCACACTTTTGTGTTAGCTGTAAGTCCTGCTTCCTCATTAATTATAATAATCACCTTTGGAGTCTTATAGGAAAACATTTTTCTTGAATATTGGCAATATTAAATTTTGTCTGACCTTATGTATCTTTTATTTTTTAATTATTTTTCTTGCCTTATTTCACTGGCTATCAAGCAGTTCGATGTGAAATGGAAATTTTCCTGATATTTACAAGTACTTGTTGTCATTCTGAACATAAGAAAGAGAAGTATCAATGTGTCACCTCCACTGGATAAGGCTGAACAGGTTTTCATACATAAACTTTTTACATTGAGGAATTAGGGAGTGTCTCTGTTCTTACTTTAGTAGCATATTTTAAAATGACAATTTCATTCTCAAGTACTTTTCCTGTATTTATTAATTGAGTTTCTCTTTATCCATTTAATGTGACATATTGTTTAAGAAATTTTAGGAAAGAAATCCTTTAAGACTGTACTTTCAGGGATCATTTCTATAGTTCGTTACTAGAGAAGTTTCTCTGATCAAGTAAAGTATCCAAAACCACAAACAGGAGCCAAAGTATCCTTTCCTGAGCCTGAAGCCAGGTCTAGGTGTTGTTCTTGCAACTGCCTTTTACGTCTGATGATTGTTCTTCTCTTCCCTTGGAAGAGGGAGAGGGAGAGGATATAGTCTGAGTTGTTTCTTGAAAAAAAAAAAAATCCTTAAATTCTCAATATAAAACCAACTATGTCATGACATATGCTGCTTTTTTGCACATTCCTTATTTTGGTTTTTAACATTTTTTCTGAGATTTTTGCATTCATATTATTAAATAAAATTGGCCTTGGTGATTTTTTCTTGAAGTCCTTGCCAGGATTTTTGTCAAATAAGCTTGAAACAAAATGTTGCTTTTGTTAAAGAGTTAAAATTTTTTCTTCTATTTCTAGCTTGTGGAAAGTTTCCACCCACTTAATTGTTCAGAGGAATTCATTAGAAAAGACCAGCAGTATTTAGTATTTGGAACTGGAAACTGTGGTTTCATGGTATTTTTTTCAGCCCTTATTAAAGCCTTGTGATTTTCCCATTTCATCCCTTTGACCATTTCTTTTGTTTACTTTATATTAACTTTTGTCTTCTTTAATCATGTTAGCTGGAAATTCATTCTTTCCAAGATTGCTCTTTGAATCAGACTTTATATTTATAGTTATAATCATATGTTAATTGTATTTATTATTAATTCCTTAATCATTTTATTAACATATTTATTAACCCAAATATGATCTCAGTAATTTTTACTCATGTTTATTTCCCTGTGTTTGCTTTGATTCCATGGCTGCTTCTCTTTTTACTTATTAGAAAAATTGATTAATAAATCTAACTTATTAGTAAATTAATTAGTAAATCTAATACCTGAGCATTAGGTCACAGATCTCTAGTTTCTTTTAAAATATAGTTAGATTAGCTAACTAATTAGCATGACATCTTATCAGGACATCTTTTTATGACATCTTATTATCTCATTCCTACTTTGGACAAACTTGCAGGCTATCAAATGTAGCCTGCCCACAGGGCAGAGTCTGGCAAACTCCCCGTGGCGTACCCAATATGCCAAATACCAGTAACAATGATGGGTCTCATTCTCCTAAAGAGTCTTGAATATAATCTCAGGGTTAGGATGAAAGAGACGTTACTGGGGCCTGCTCGAGGCAATCGACGAATAACAGGATGATGAAATGAATGAAATGAAAGATTAGCTAGAAACTTATAGAAAAAAGTCAACGAAAACAAAATCAGTCAAAGAGTGATAGACTAAGTAATACTAAGGTGGCTAAGGAAGAAAACTGTAACTATTATATTTCATGTTGAAAGTCAAATTGTGCTTTCTGGTACATTTTAATGAGAAAACTAATAACTCTATCATTGCATCTTAAATTCACACCTTTTCTAACAGCTTAGGTTTGGCCATTAATTGGAAAATTCCCCTAAGGTTGTCAACGAAAGCCTTTTAGGAAAAGCCCCTGTCTTGTTAATAATTTCTATTATCAGATTTCAGCTTCTTTTGCTCTAACTTGTTTGGAATAGAATTTCTAACATAGAAGAAACAAAAAATTAAAATTTTCTTTACATATCAATAAAATAAACAATAAAAGCTACACTTCAAATTATAAATTGATAATTTAAGTAAGAACCATCAATTCTATAATCAAAAAGATAAAGGTACCTGTAACATTTTGTGTTAAACATACTGATTTTCATAAATGAACACTAATTTTCAATGATGTAATAGAAATATATAATTTATAAGGCAACTTTTTTCAATAAAAAGAAAAATGTCAAAATAAAATATAAAAAACTAAAATTGTGCATTATAACAGCAAAAGTAAAAATTCTATAGCTTAGGGTGCAATAATATCATTTAATATATTTATAATATAAAAACTTAATGATGATTAGTTAAATGGTATAATATTTAAATTTTTTAAAATGGTATAGTGACTGGGTTGAAGCAATAGCACAGCAGGTAGGGCGTTTACCTTGCACACAACTGACCCAGGTTCAATTCCTCTGTCACTCCAGGAGAGCCCAGCAAGCTACCGAGAGTATCCCACCTGCCTGGTAGAGCCTGGCAAGCTACCCATGGCATATTTGATATGCCAAAAACAGTAACAACAAGTCTCACAATGGAGGCCTTACTGGTGCCCGCTAGACCAAATCCATGAACCATGGGAGGACAGTGTTACAGTGTTACAATATAGTGAGTAAGGCACTTGACCTACATGGAAAAGACCAGATTTGGTCTCTGGCATCACATATGGTCCTCCAAGTTTACCAGGAGTGATTCCTGAATACAGTACTTAGGTGTAAGCTCTGAGCACAACTGGGTGTGCATCCTCTTCCAATCAGAACCCTGTACTGTAGCACTCTCTTTGAATTCCCGTTGTTCATTGATTTGGTCAAGCAGGCCCAGTAATGTCTCCACTGTGAGACTTGATACTGTGTTTGGCATACTAAATATGTCACGGTATCTTGCCAGGCTTTGCCATGTAGGCGAGATGCTCTCAGTAGTTTGCCGGGCTCTCCAAGAGGGGCAGAGGAATCAAACCCGGGTCAGCCGGGTCAGCCACGTGCAAAGCAAACAAATGTCCTACCCGCTGTGCTATCACTCCAGTCCCCAATAAGAACAACAATCAAAAAAATTATTAACAACTCCCCCAAAAATGGCAAAAAGATTCTAACCAATTAGATGTGGGATTATCCTTAAAATGCACAGCCTCTTCCTTTTAAAGGAGATATTACATAAATTTAGATCATATTAGGAAAAAAATCTTAGTCATACTTATCAAATACTTAAGTTGAATTATTGTGCCTCTGAAATCAAACAGTTGAATATATTGTATCTTTCCCCAACTTGTGAGAAAATAGACTAGTTTGTGCACATTATGTGAAGTCTTTGTTCTATAATGTTCTATATATGAATGAACAAAATTAGCATTTTCACAGAGAGTATAGGGCAATCCCCAAAAGAAACTCCAAGTCAACTCACCTACAAAGTTTAAGTTACTTTGATAAGTGGACGGGCTATTTAAGTTACAACATGATAAATTCACATGACTGCTAGTCAGTTGATTTATTAATCTCAACTAGAAAGAAGAGAGAGTGAGGGGATATTAGAAAAAAGAAATGTCAAGATTTCAGGTTATTAGTTACAGATACTTATGCATAAATCAAGATAATTTCAAGTACAGAATAAACAGAGAAAATCTGGTAGTTATCAAAAATAGGAAAGGGAGAGACTCACAAATAAATCTAGGAAGAAATCAACAAACTGCAAAGATCCCTCCAGACCCCAAGCCAGGCCGACTCTCATATTTTGAGCACCCTGGAGATGGGGGTGGGGAGTGAGTCTCCCACTCACCCAAACAGAGCCCCCGCAGCCAAAAACCTCCAGAACACAATAGTCACCATGCTCACGGCCTATATTCATAAGCTCAGATAAGCCTCATCAATGAGTGAATCTGCTGAAAAACTCAGGTATGTGGGGTTTTGTGACCGACATCTCCAGGTTCTCACAGAGTCAGGTATGGGTGATCCTCCCCAAACCCCTTTTCTTCCTGGAGCCTGGAAGTTATGCCCATGAACTGCCTTTGTTGCCATAAAAGCTCATTAACTGGCCATGATCAAGACACTCACAAATAAATCTCAGAAGAGATCAACAGAGATGCTTCCAGATCCCAAAGTTATGATCCATTTAAAAATTTAACTACAGTGCTCGCTTCGGCAGCACATATACTAAAATTGGAACGATACAGAGAAGATTAGCATGGCCCCTGCGCAAGGATGACACGCAAAAAATAAAATAAAGGGAAAAAAAAATTTAACTACAGCTATACTCATTCTATACCACTGATGTACCAGGGGTAGCAAACCACATTAGATGGGATGCAAAGTACAAGGCCACCAACCTTGATTAAAAAATAGTAGCATAAGAGGCTTAACCTGTTACAACATGTTAGTAAGTTTTGATATGCGGGCTTAATGACTCCAGGGTGAGCTACAACAATCTTCACACACTTTCTTCTAAGGAAATCTTTTTTGATCAATGATTATTTATAACAAGATATACACAATAACTTATTTAGGGCCTGCTATTGCGGCAGGCTTGGGTGGTATTTGGAAACTTTGAAATAATGGTGGTAAGAAAGTGTAATGGTGATGGGATTGGTGTTGGAATATTGAATGTAATAAATTATTGGTAACAACTTTATAAAAATAAAGTATGATTATTTTAAAAATAAGCAAATGAAAAGAAAGTATCAGTTCATAAACTCTTGGTACTGGAATACAAACTGAAATACTGGAATTTGAGGGATGGGGTGGGGTGAAGGTGGGAGTGCTTTCAAGGGCAGTTAGATGGATAGGAAATGACACAGGGCCATGAATCAGATCTTGGGCACTTTAATGGTGCTGAGGTATCTATGTACAACAAGACCACAAGTTTTAAAAAATAGGAAGGGATTTATTTACTAGGAAGGCAAATATTCATGATATCTTTCAATAAATATTAAAATAGTTTTGGATTTAAATGCTAAGCCTTTTGTTTTTCAACACAACTCAACACTTACAAAGAGGCAACTGTCTTCCAAGCATTGTGAGAGGATCTGGTGATACAAAATTATACTGAGAGTTGTAAAAATATTCCTAGCTGGCAGATGAATAAAACCTGAGGATTTTGGGAAATAACAATGTTAAGTATGTACACAGAGTTACTATAAAAGAAGAAAAGCTCCATGCTGGATAGATAGCACAGCGGGTAGGGCGTTTGCCTTGCATGCGGCCGACCCGGGTTTGATTCCCAGCATCCCATATGGTCCCCTGAGCATGACCAGGAGTAACTCCTGAGTGCAGAGCCAGGAGTAACCCCTGTGAATCGCCGGGTGTGACAGAAGAAGAAGAAGAAGAAGAAGAAGAAGAAGAAGAAGAAGAAGAAGAAGAAGAAGAAGAAGAAGAAGGAGGAGGAGGAGGAGGAGGAGGAGGAGGAGGAGGAGGAGGAGGAGGAGGAGGAGGAGGAGGAGGAGGAAGAAGAAGAAGAAGAAGAAGAAGAAGAAGAAGAAGAAGAAGAAGAAGAAGAAGAAGAAGAAGAACTCAATAGAAAAAGAGCCAAGCCAGCATGCTAGTATATAGAGACTAAGAACAGAGCTT